TATACAGTACAGTCATACTCAAGAGGACTTTAAATGATATACAGGTATAAATTTGTGATTTTAATAGCTAGGGATTTATTTTAATGTGTAATAGGAAGATACTAATTGTCCACTTACGGTGATATCAAATTTCCTTCTCATATAAGTTAAGGTTAAAAAAAAATGAGCAACAAATTAAATAATAACCCAGAGATACTGGGCTGTGACAAAATTGTGCAGGCTACATGCAGACAGAATGTCTGGAGGTGGGGAAACCATCTATCTGCTTCCAGCTGATCAGGAAGCCATAGGCCCCATGCTGAGATAAACAACATCTTCCAGCCTGGTACCGGGGGGCCAGCTCTGCAAGTCACTTTGCATTTATTTTTTAGTTTCTATTTTTTTCCTTGGAGTCAATGGCCTTGCCCTCCCCAAGCCCCCTTTTCTTGGTTTTCTGATCTCCTGCGAAGCCACCCTCACTTCGGGAGGCCACTGCAAGATGGAAAAACCTTTTGCTTGATTCCCCTGGATCTTGGAAGAGTTTTTTGTTTGTTTGTTTTGTGTGTGTGCCATTTCCTCCCTCGATCTGGTCTTGTGTGCGACCATGTCTGCAAACAACAGTTATGTTTAATAACTAACAGCTTTGCCTGCTGCTTTGCTCATAACTGTTCTCACATGGAGGAAGAAAGTCTTTGTCTTAAAGTCACAGTTTTCCCAAATTTATAGTAGCTGTAAATCAGACAACGATGCTGACGGGAGCAATAGTGGATTCTAGCTCATCTAGGAAGGCCTGTCCTTCTCAGCCCTGCTGAGTGGCCACCTTCTTCATGCGTGCTCTGGGAACCACTTCCTGACACAGAATGAATCACGTTCTCTGCCACGAAACACTGTAGTTGTGCCATCTCTCTATTCCATACCGGTTTCATTCACACCTGCGTAACCGATGCCTGTTGACGTGTCTTCTTCCCCTCAGATGTGAGCCTCTGAAGGACTGCGGCCATATTTTAATTCCTCATTCAACAAATATTCTGAATGCCTACTACATGCCAGGCACTGGGCTAGGAACTGGGAAGGTGAAGGCGAACAGGCCGACACTGTCTCTCCCTCATGCAGCTTGTTGTCTTTGCCCTTTAAAGTGTCTGTCGTAAGTGTATTAGCGATCTGTTGCTGCATAACAAGTTGCCCCCAAACTTAGCAGCTTAAAGCAACAAAGATTTGTTATCTTCCCAGTTTCTGAGGAAGGCATAGGTGTACAAGGAAAGCCAAGGTTTTGGTTACTTTTTCAGATCAAAATTATATGTTTACATATATATGTGTTTACATATAATATAATCTGGCAGGAATCTGGGAGCAGCTTAGCTTCGTTCTGGCCTATGGTCTCTCATGAGACTGCTGGCAAGATCTTGGCCAGAGTGTGGTTATCTGGAGGCTTGATATGGCTGGTGGATCTGCTCCCAGGCTCACTCATGTGGCTGTAGGCTGAAGGCCTCAGTTCCTTACCAAGTAGCCTCTTCATAGGGTCCCCCTCCCCAGCTTCCCCCTGAATGGATGTTTGAAGAGAGAGAAAGTGAGTAAGGAGAAGCCAATGTGTCTTTTGTGTAATCTCAGAAGTGACACGCTGTCACTTCTAAGGGTCACACCAACCAAATCCTGGTGCAGTGCAGAAGGAGACTACATAAGGGGACAGGGATCATTGGGGGCCATCCTGAAGGCTGGTTACTACAGTAGGGCAATTGAGAGTGGGTGGTCAGTAAATGCCTGGGAAAGTTTTTACCCCAATAAGCCATAAGTCAACGCTTCTACTTTATTTAAATAGACTTTATTTTTCATAGTGGTTTTAGGTTTACAGCAAAATTAAGTGGGAAGTACAGAGCGTTCCCATATACTCCCTGCCTCCGCACATGCACAGCCTCCCTCAATAACAACATCCCCCACCAGCGTGGTACATTTGTTAGAATTGATGAACTTACATTGACACATCACTATCACCCCAAGTCCATAGTCTACAATAGGATTCACCCTTGGTGTTATGTATTCAGTGGGTTTAGACAAACAGACAATGAAATGTATCCATCATTATAGTATAATATGGAGTAGTTTCACCACCCTAAAAATCCTGTCTGCTCCTAGTCATCCCTCCTCCCCTCTAACCCCTGCCTTTTCCAGAATGTCAGGTAGAATCATAAAGCATGGAGCCTTTTCAGGTTGGCTTCTTTCACTTAGTAATACGCATGTGAATGTCCTCCATGTTTTTTCATTTTTCTTTTCTTCTTCTTCTTCTTCTTCTTCTTCTTCCTTTTTTTTTTTTTACAAATAGGTGGACATACTTTTTGCCTTGGTTTTACTGACTGTATCATTTTGGAGTGTTTTTAATCTTCCACTAAGCCTAAATAATTTGAATGGTTTACCCAGCTAACATGTTGTTGCCACATTAAATTAAAAAGTCAGTAAATGTGTTTTAAGCAGACTTAGTAACTTGTCTTTCCCCTAAATTGTCTTTTTTTCCCTTATAATCACATTTCTCTAGCTATCTTGCCAGGATCATTCATGTCCTGCTTGTCTAATGCATTTGTGGAAAACCTCTGTTTGAAATTTTTATATGTTCTACTGAAGGCAGATTTTGTTTAATGTACAAAGCTGAGTCTTGCTAAAAAAATAAAACAAAAAAAATGAAGCTCTCTAAGAAGAAGGCCTGTGTTGTGCATTAGTTGATGAAGGGACCTATCACTGGTGGGTGCTGGCTGTTAAACAGAAGCCTCAAATAAAGGGGAAGGGAAGTATTCTTTCTTGATGGGAAAAAATAGGGCTTTACCATTGCAGTGCCCCAACAAAGGCAGTGAAGGAAGAGCCCAAGATTGGTTTGGGATAAACATCAGGATAATGGCATTTCAGCATGGGCATCTTCTGACCCTTTTAGGCAGTTAGGTGACCACTGTCATCAGGAGCACTGTCACCATCTCAAGAGGAAGCAGGGCATAGAGCAGGAGAGCTGGGACAACTGTCAGGATAACAAGAACTCGTATTTGTGTGGTGTCCAATGCTGTGCCTACCATTTGGACTCTCTAGGAAAATAATCTTGTCTCTACTAAGTTGCAACCAGGGAGCCAGCAGCTCTCATGAGAACAACAACAAAAAAAGGTGAAATGCAACGAGAAGCCTTCAGATTCTATTGTGTACAAAGGATAGAACATCCTGGGAAAGGAGACTTAGGAGAAGTTAGAAAGATGTACTCTGCTCAAGTCTAAGTGGAAAAGCAGGTTAACTTTTCAAAATTTGCGAACAGTTGAGGGTTGATGAGAATGGTGTTTGACTTCGTATTTCTTTAACAACTTGCTCCAAATTGTACCTGCTGTTTTATGGAATCATTATGTAATAGTTCTACTTAGCTGTTTTAGCAGCAGTATTTTCAGTGAAATAGAGTAAATGAGTGGGAAAATGTTCTTTACTCAACACTACCCCTGGGGAGCCAGGACACCAGTGTGGTCACCCATCCTCTCCCTCCCGGTAACCAAACCTCCCAAAGGCCCCAGAGGTGGTCATGGTACCTGAGAGGTAATGAGTAGCCCCTGAAGCACCTCGCTTGCAAACCCAAAGGAATTACAAACATCACGCCATCTTTAAAAACGTTTCGGAGGGGCACCTGTGTGGCTTAGTCAGTTAAGTATCTGCCTTCAGCTCAGGTCATGATCCCACAGTCCTGGGATCGAGTCCCATATCGGGCTCCTTGCTCAGGAGGGAGTCTACTTCTCCCTCCTTCCCCTTTCCTCATGTTCTCTCTCTCTCTCAGATAAATAAAATCTTTGAAAAAAATTGTAAAAATTTAAAAATAAATAATAAAAAACATTTTGGAATATCAGTTATTTCAACCTTTTCCTGCTCCCACATCTTCCTCCACGTCTAGCACACTCCAGTTAGTTAGCAACATTGTCTCTCACAGGAGAGGGAGAATAAGCATAATAGGTGCATGCATGTTTTGAAAAAAATGCCCTTTACCAATTCCTACCTGCCCTGCTGGGAGTCAGGGCAGGACAGCATCTCTTCTTTCCACTGTCAGTTGACATAGCAGATGGAGGTTAGTGGCTTCCCGGCTTCTGCACAGGCCATCCAAGAAGGCTGCCTCAAAGGAGGAGTCCAGCTGAACGATGACCAGGGGTCAGGGTACCCGCACCCTCACCTAGGATTTGCCACTAACATCTGGCATCCTTCATCTGTAAACTGAAGGGGTTGGACTAAAAGATCCATGAGGTCCAGTAGAGCACTGATATTTTGCTGTTCTGTATTGGCCAGAAGCCGGTGAGCCTTGTTAGTTTCACAGAATGAAGTTACTCTGTCTTCCTGTTAATCTAAACCTGTGGTTGCTAACTGGTGGTCAGATCTGGCATGTAAGCGTGTTTTGTTTACACTCCCTAGTGTTTTGTAAGTTTTTTGTCTTTTATTATTATTATTAGTTGTTGTCATCTTCTGTCGCTTCTGGCTTGCCCTGCAAATTCTGTGTCTGGCAACACCTGGCCCTTACTCCTACATCACAGCCTCTTCCACAGTGGGCATGTGCTGTTCGGTTCCCCAGGCCCACATGGCCCACTTTGCTCATTTCCATCCCTTCCTGGCCACTGTAGAAGTTAAACTTTGCAACCCCTGTTTTAAATTTTCTCCGTATTCTCTGGGTCCCATGGGACAATGATGCTTTGTACAGGACACATATTCCAGCCTATCTGAGCGTTCGCTGTTGCTTGGATGGGCTCCAGAAGGGTGGGTTTGTTGGGCACGTGAGCTGCGGGCGTGCCTGTCTGGCTTGTTTCTGAATGCAGAAGGTGGGAGGAGAGCCAGAAGCTCAAAAGCTTGTCATGTTCTGGAAAGCTCCCCATTGTTACAGCTGCACTACAGATGTGCAGAAGGTGTGTGAGAGGTTCCATGTGAACATCTCCATGCATCAGGAGAGATGAGACCAAAAGAAAAATAAAACCACCGTGGGGTTTTCAAGTGTTTTATTTTCCCCTCCTCTTCCTACCCTTGTTGTCTAGGTCCATGCCACAAACGACGAGCAGGAGGCTGCTGCACTCAGCTGGGCTCCCTGTCAGCCCTGAAGCATGCTGTCCTTGGGCTCTACCTTCTGGTCTTCCTGATTCTTGTGGGCATCTTCATCTTAGCAGGTAAGAGCACCCTTCCCTCATCTGGCCTTCAAGGATGCAGCGGGAGGTGTGTAGGGAACAAGAGCAGATGGGAACCTGAGAGCTGGAGCCTCTGCTCTTCATTTCCACAGTCATAAGCCCAAACACTGCCCCTGTCACCATGGAAACCACGAAGGAGGAAGCTGGCTGGTCTTTCAGACCAGCACAACTCTAGGCAGCATTGCCCATTTCATGTGGGATGAGATGTTGGCAGGGGCTATGTGGAAATATAGCCCCTGCTATATTTCCTGCTTGGGAAATCTCTGAGTCCAGGAGCAGAGACCTAGCTGCTCCCAGCGGCTTCTGATTTTTCCCACATCATTGTGTGACTTGTACATCACACTGGCCCTCCCTGGAGCTCTGTGCTGTGGTTTGCACAGAGTAAGCTAAGCCCCCTTTCCTGAGGATGATGAAAATAGCCATGAAACATTTTGCTGCTGAGGCTAATCAGAGTCATAATAAACCTGCTGCCCTTTTGCAATTACTGAGGGTGGGATGGGTTTGCCCCAGTCTAGCTGGGTTCTTCTCCCCAGTTTCCATCTGCAAGACAGGCTGGTTAGATGCTGGAGTTGGGAGCACGTTCTCCGGCCAAGAGATGCAGAGCTCATGGACTTAGAAAAGGATCAAATGGAGGACCTCCATGCTTTGAGCAGCCTAGCTCACCACTCACAGCTCACTCCATTGTGATGTAGATGGTGAAACAGATAGGACAGAGATGTGGTGGTCTCTCCTGACTCCCACCCAGAGGGAGAGGTGCACAATTCCCACCTTTCTCAATGGAGGTATGTAAGTGTTGACAAAGTAAAGCCAAGGGATCAGTTTATTTCAACCTCACCTGTCCTACATGAGTGCCTACTTTGTGTCAGGTTCCATGCTAGGAGTGGAGACACAACTAAATAAGATGCATGGGCTTCTTTCAAGGAGCTCCCTGTTGGGAGACAAAGCAGAGGCATACAGATAGAGCCCTGTCCTAAGGTAGAAAGTGATAGGGATGATGATGGGGACTGTCTGTTGACACAACAAGTGCTGTGGTGATTTAGAGGAGGCGCACTCAGTGGAAGTGTGGATGTTGCACGGAGCGGGGTTGGTCAGAGCAAGGCTGCTGGCCAGGCTGAGATGACTTAGATGGTTGAGGGCAGGGTCCTTGAGTTAACTCTAGGACAGGGATCTGGAGGTCAAGCACTTGCACATGACCCTTCGCTGGAAATCGTGAGGCAGATGCTCAGGACCTCACTGGTCTTGTCTCACTTTCTGTCAAGTGAGCATAGTCATAGTCCTGTGATGGGATGTTCAATGCTGCCTTCACCTTCAGGGTCCTACACTCAGGGCAAAGGGCATCATTAGGAGTGGCGTCTGTCCCACCACCCATTGACCTGGGGGCGAGGGGGGCGGCCAACAGCAACAATGAGAGAAACTCATGATTCATCTCAAGGACCCCAGGATACTATCCAGCCAGAGGATGATTTGAACATGTTCTTGGGCTGCTCAGTGGGAGATTGGATTCTGGGTTTTGTGGTCTTGGCAGCCACAACCATAACAAATTTCCAGAATTTCTGGAAACTGTTTCAGCCCAGCAGGAAAGATAGGCTATGGCATTACAGTCTCTCTGCCGAATAGGAACTTTTAGGTGACAGAAGAGGGTCTAGAAGAGGGAGCCAGACAGATGAGGACCCTGAGGCAGGTCTCTGGATCCTGGAAGGCCTGGACGGGCATCATCTCTTGGGAAGAGAAGACCTGCCAGGGAAGGAAGGTTCTCTTCTGGTGCCTGGAGGGTTGCCATATGGAAAAGAGCAGGCATGTTCTGTGTGGCCTCAGAGGGTAGAAGTAGACAAATGGGTGGATTTTGTAAGGAGACAGATTTCCATTCAAAACAGGAGAGTTCCTAACAAGTAGTGTTGCCTGGCATGATGCAGAAAGAATTTTCTCCTGGCTTAGTCAACTTGGAGGTTGAATGGGATTTATGATGACATCCTGGAAGTTTCAGAAGAGCGGGTGGAACATGGTTTTCCAATCTAACCAAAATGTTGCCATGCTTCCTTAGCTGTTCTGTGTGGAAACCTGGGGAAGATATTGATCATTATGATCACCTTTGAGCCTGAAGTTTCTGGGTACCAGATTGCCTGGGTGGCATGACAGTTTGGGGTGGATTTAAACTAATCTGATGAAACAGAGCATCATACTTTATCTCTTGGCTCTGGCATGGCCACTCTCCCCTCCCTAGGTTCTTGTCTGGAAAATCGTGCTGGCCTCTGGGAGGGGTTTAATGAGGGTGGCCAAAGAAAAATATAGTCCCCAGCTGCCTCTCCCCAAGGGAGGGGACTTAGGGATGTGGTGGACAAGTCTGGGGTTCTTCAAGGAGCCCTTGCCTGACCTTAGGCAGGAAGTTTCTTCAGATTACTCTGATTGAAGACCTCCAGTGTTGCTCCTTTTGTGAAAATACCAAGACCATGGGGACATCCATGATTCAGTGTAAACCAGAGCTTGCCTGGCCTTCTGTTAGGAGTTCTGCTGTGGCTGCCTCCCCAGTCGTGGGCAGAACATGTTCTTCATTGCCCTGCTGAGGTCGCCTTGCACAAGAGGTGCTAAGGACTGAATTGTGCCGTGCCCCCCCATTTATATGTTAAAGCCCTATCCTTCAATATGATGGCATTTGCGGGTGGGGCCTTTGGGAGGTTATTATGTCATGAGAGTGGGGCCCTCGTGATGAGATTAGTGCCCTTATAAGAAGAGACAGGAGAGGGAGAGGGAGAGGGAAAGAAGAGGGGGGAGAGAGAGAGAGATCTGCCATGTGAGGACACAGAGAAAAGGGGTCATCTATAAGCCAGGAAAACAGCCCTTACCAACAAACAAATTGGCCCACACCTTGATCTTGGACTTCCCAGTCTCCACAACTGTGACAGATAAATGTCTGTTGTTTAAACCACCCAGTCTGTGGTATTTTGTTATAGTAGCCCAGACTGACTGAGACAGGAGGAGTTCTGTCTGAACCACTCTCAGACTTCAAACCTCCTTGTTGACACAGAGCTCATACATCCTACAATTGGATGACAAAACCATCCATTGCAACCAAGTGCCATGTCTGAATAAATGATGGGTAAAAAACTACAGGGAACAAATGCTCACTCTTACTGTGTTTCAGTATTGCAAAATTATAATCTAACTACATAACAATATTACTCTTATAAGACCTCACATGAAACTTCTCTCAGTTCATCTCTTTGTCCAAGTGTTTGAAATAAAAGGCAAACACTATACCTCGTGTGTATGCATCATCCTGGCTTCCCTGTCTGATCCAACCATCTGGATTTAATTATTTTCACCCAAACTATTTTGGGCTTTCTACCTACCATCTACCTATCCATTCCTGACCAGCATCCTCTCGGGAACTTTCCTGATATCCCCACAATATCACCAGGTTCTATGCACACAACCTTCCAACATCTCTCAAGGAGGCTGCATCAGTTCCTTCTTCCCACCCCCAAATTCCTCTAAGACTTTTTATCTACTTCAAACCATTGCTTATTACCTGGACTGATGGTTCCATATTATGGTTTTGTTCTATTCCACGTTGAGTTTTGGACAGTATCAACCATGAGGCTTAAGTTCATGAACAAGAGAGTTGAGAATGGATGGTCATGGGTTATGAGGTCCTTGGTCCAGCACTTTAGGAAAGATGTGATGGAGTGAAAGTGTTAGAGGAGGGTCACTGTTACTCATGACTATTCTGGGACATTACTGTGGTGACAAAGGGTGGTCAGGAAGAACGTCTTCCACCTTTCTCCTGTCATGACACTACTAAGGAATTTGAATTCCTGCTATGAAAATGTAGTAGCAGAAAGGGGAAGTGCAAACATCTCTGTCTCTGATTTCTTGGAAAGCTGGAGTTTTATGGCGATGTAGACTACAGAACTGGAGCAGGGAGAGTTCCTGGAGAAATGGGTTAGGTTAGATATTGCAGGTTAAGATTTCAACATATGAATTTGGGAGGATGCAAACGTTCAGTCCATAGCATGCGAATAAAAAGAATCATGAGATGTGTTTCCTACTCTGGGAGGGTTTCAAAGCATGAGCACACATACACATTAGGACAGTATGATGTAGCTAATGCTATGTGCCAGAGTAGAGTCTGCTTGCGCAAAGGAGGGTCTGACTCCCAAGAGCTGGAGTGGCCTCAGCCTGGGGAGAGCTGAACACCAAGTGATCCAAACGTCGTTTGAACCGAGCACCCCTTTTTTTGATCACCTCCTTCCAAACAGGTCTGTCTTTGACTCTGCAATCAGAGAACGGTGTGCTCAGAGCCCGTATCCGTTTAGATGGCAGATTACTGATTTCATTATGCATCTCAGAATTAAGAGTGTGATGCCCTTGGACTTTATTGGAACCACCTGTTGGAAACAGTGCCACGAAATTTCCCCTGTGCTTATTGTAGGGGTGCTGTTGAGGATATTGTTCAATCCAATATTGTTCAATCCATTACACATTACACATTACACATCAACACATGCAGAAATTATTTTCTGCCTTAGTTGCAGAAAGAGGTATGCCTTGAGGAATTAGTTTGTTTTCACCTTAAGGAGACTGTGAATCTGAAAGTAATTAAAGTTGCTTTCGAGAGGTAATTAATGCAAACTGAGAGTGAGCTGTCATCTCATTGCAAGATGTATGAATTTGAAGCTAATTAAAATGAAAACCTGGAGACAGATCTGTGGTCCACTTGCAGCAGCTACTGTATAGACTTTCCAGAAAGCATTTTTCTGTTAGTTTCATTCCTACCTCCGTTTAGCATCTCTCACCGTTCTTCCTTTATCTTGTTGGCGTCTACTATTTTCTTACTGTATTTTCTGTATCCTTGTAAACTGCCTTAATCCTTTTTGGAACAAAGAAGGGCTTTATGCACAATTTTTGAAAAAAAAATTCTGTCTACTCTCTTCAATTCTGCAAATGCATGTTTTTAAATATGTGAATGAATGAGTGAATGAATG